GATCGGTTGCTCCAGCTCCCATCCGGAATAGATCTGAATATGAAATTCCAGATTCTTCATTCATCTTTTTTTAGCTTTTCCAGAACAGTTTTAGTGGATTTATGTAAATGAGATGATTTTTTTTTTATTTTTGGGAGGAAAAAATAAGTTTATTTGGATTCTCATCTTCTTTGATTTCTGGGTTCTCTTCATACCGAAAAAAACTTGAACAATGATGAAGAACCATTCAATCATGAGGGAAAAGATTTTCGATCATCGCATTTGTGATATTCTACCTACTCTACACCTTATTCCACCCATTTTACACTCATTTTTATCTAGAGTTCTATGCTTTCATAATCAGCAACCTCGTGATCCAAAAATCAGCAACCTAGTGTCTTTCCTACAATTTTATGTCTTCATAATCAGCAACTCTCCTGAACCAAAAACAACAGCATGGTATCGGTTTTGGAATATGGGTAGAATGTGGGTGTTGAATGGGTACAATATGGTGGAAAATGGAAAGTAGTAAGTATAGAACGGGGTGAACATCATAAGCATGACGATTTCGAAAATGTTGTTCATGTTTTTATTACAGGTAGAATCAAGAATTGAATGAGTAGAATGAATTAAAACATCCTTCCAAAAATAAAAGAATGAATTAAAACATCATTTTTAAACTTTATTTACTCAACATTTGTGTCATAATGAAAATCATAAAAAATTGAATTTAGATATATTTTCTAAATTCAAGAGCTAAAATTAAGATGGTTATTTGTTTAAAATCTTTCTAAAAAATACTACGTAGGTATGAAATAACAACAATTAAAATTAAACTCCCAATTTTAAGGAAATAATAAAGAAAAAGAAAAACATTAAGAACAATTATTAGGTGGTTTTATTATGCAAGTGTTCACAAGTCTTCATGGAAGAAGATGAGGATTGAAACGTTTTTTCCTCCCAAAATATCAAATAACGCATCTCATTTACACAAAATCCACAAAAACTGTTCTGGAAAACTTAAAAAGATGAATGAAGAATCTCATCCACGTCCAGCCGTGCGTCATGGACTTAAGCTTGCTGTCCGGTGAAATTCCCTATACAATCTCCAGATCTTGCCGCCGCAGAGTTGCCGCCGTGCGCCGTGAACTGAAGTTTGTCGTCACTGCTCCAGGTACAGAAGTCGTGGCCATTAATTGCCGTCTTACAGCTCGTGAGACGAACGACTCAGAGTATGGGCATTACTACTTCCGTTGCAGCACCTACCTTGTTCTTGGTCATTTCGCCGCTTTGTTGGTCGCCCTCACGTCTCAACGAACTGTTATAGTAGCTCGATGGTCTTCGTTCTCCATTAACAACTACCCGAGAGCTCTCCGCTCAAGCAGTGACGGAACCACCATATGGCCTGGGGGTGCCTGTGCCCCTGCGGCCTTGCTGTTTTCTTTATATTATATATATTATATATGTATATATATAACTATTAATGAATATACATTCTGTTCCTGCAGTGACCAGCCCAATTTTTCCTTTTACGTGGCCCAACTGCCCAAGTGCCCAACATTCCTAATGCACAGACTGCCAACCAAAAGCAGTCAAGCAGCCTCTTCTGCACAGCAAGACATTGAACGAAGCTTCGACCTTCTTCCCAGCTACTCCAGCAAGGCAGCCAAGTGAAACGAGTTTATAAATTATTAAATTTTTTTGCAAGCCTAGAATCTATGTATAATTATTTTTATTTAATAATTTGTAAATTGTATTATAATTGTGTTGTGTATTTAATTTGTTGTAATACTATTTTTACCATTATACTCGTATTAATTCAATTCTAGTCTAAATTGTTTGATAGGAATTCATGTAAATTAAATTCTAATTTGGATTTGCAACTTTATAAGGACTTTAATATAGTTTCAATAGGGAAGATTTTGCAACATTTTAAAGCAGTGTTAAAGTTGCAAAATCTAATTTTGATTTTGCAACTTTTAATTTGGACGTAAGTAGTATAATTTATGTGCTAGTGTGCCCCTCCAAAGTCGAAAGGCTGGTTCCGCCACTGCGCTCAAGACCTAGGTAGCAGCAACTGTAAATTTCTGAAAAGTGTGGACAAGAGCAATAATCTTATTAAGACAATAAAAAAAACATTTTCAGGGCAAGAATGAAACTGCCCGGTGCGTATAAAAGTTAAGAACGATGCTTTCATTAAAGAGGATATTCCACATACAAAATTCAAAGACCAAAGCCTGTTGTGATTTAAATAAAAGGAAAAATAGCTAGCTAACAGAGGGCTACTCCTCTACTCTGAAAATCAGGAAGAAAACTAACCAACTAAGTCATAAAATAGGATTTAATCTCATCTCGAGATCTTGCCTCCAAGATGTAGCTCAGGTAAAAACCCAATAGACCAATGGAGAAATGTTGCAGAAAAATGGAAAAGAAAGGATGAAAGAGAAAATGGAAGAAAAGTAAGTTGAAATATATTACTCGTAAAAGAAAAAAAGTAAAGTGAAAAGTACGGTAAGTGCTAAGATAACCCTAGATTTAAATGTAAATGCCATGGTGTAAAATAAAAAAATGTCATGTTTTTTTGCAGCAAATAAGCTTAATTAATAGTAGTATTAATCAGATCGTGGCTCAGGGCCCGCAAAATACATATAGGAGGATTTGACAACCAAACTTGACAATTAGACAAAGAAACGGCCGGCAAAAGAATGACATGTTTAATGAATGCAAATGGAACAATATAAGTGGTCCAACTCACAGCCTACACCGGTGTAGGTTATTTACAACCTACACAGGAGAAAAAAACTGGCAATGATCCTTCTGGACCATGTGTTTTTCTTTTTTATTTTATTTTTATTTTTATGTTTTTACATGTTCAATAAGTACCAGGTCAATTGGATTAATATGAGAAGACTACATATGAACTTCGTATTATTCTAGAATTACGCATATTTGGGATTAATTAATAGTGATGGACCCGGGCCGGGTCGGGCCCAAGTCGGGCCGGGTCGGGCCTCGGGTGTGGTATAGGTTGGCCCGGGACTGGCCTGGGCTATGGCCGGTTCCGGTTCGGGTCGGGCCACCCGCTGGGCCGGTTCAATTTTTTTTTAAATAATTATATATTATACAAATTCCTATTAAAAACAAAGTTCAAGTGCATTTATTTGAAATATGAACTACATTTGAGAATTGAGAAAAAAATAACAATACGAAATACATTTTCTAATAAATATCAATTGAGATTTCCGCCACCGTTGGTTGTTGTTTTGCCTTTGTCACAGGACTTCATATGTTTTATTGGCATCCTGTATCCGTGTGAACGCCCCAAACTACACTCTTTCTTGCACCACTTGCAAGTTGCCCACCATAGTCCGGTCTTCGGGTCCTTCCACTTATCAAAATTGTTTTGCATAAGGGAAGATGTACTTTCCATCTTTAAAATGGTATATGTATAAGTAGTAATGTAGGATAATAAGAGAAGATGAAGATGGAGAAGAGTTGGAGAAGAGTTGGAGAAGAGGTGTAGAAAAATGTTAGAAAATAGATGTATTTATAGATGTTTTTGAACCCCACTCCCCACACCACCACCCCCGGGACCCCCCTGCCCCCCACCCAAAGCCCCAACGGCTATATAGCCGTTTGGGAGGTTTGTTTTAAAAAAAAATTAAATCTTTTTTTTAAAGTTATACATATTGTAAAATAAGTTAATTAATTTAATGAATTAAGTAAAGCTATTTGTACTTAGAAAAGTGGTTTGATTTATAATTTACAAATGTTACAAAATAGGTGTATAAGTATTTAAACAAATTATCCCTCTGGATACAGAAAAATACTATTTCTTTGGGCAAGAAGGATACGAGTCGATCAAAATTGGCTCAAAATTTTTTAAATTTGCAGTCAAGAATAGCGAAGTGGTCATTTTCGAATTTAAGAAAACCCAGCTGGACAAGGTTAATTTCGAACTTTATCTTGCCCCTCAAATCATTCGGTTTTTATCTCAATTCATAAGTTCAGGCAGGTTAGCTTACAAGGAGAAAAGGAGATTCGGAGATATCACAATCTCCTTGGAAATTAACAGATCAGGCTACTACGTGAAAATTGCTAAAAATAAGGGAAGCTTAATCCAAATTCCCATGGGTCCGCAAAACTCCAATCTCTCCCAATTTATAACCATTTTTTCAAATTTCACAGGGTTTCCTAGGCAGGCAGAACCAATATCCCTACAGCAAAGCAGCTACACAAACACCGATGAACCAATTTCAATTTCTAAATTGATTTTTAATTTTCAAACTCAGGCAGCATGTGCTGACACTCAACGGGTGTGTTCTCCAGCAAAACGACTCAAGATGTCTTTGACTCCGGCTTACTCTGACGCCTCTGACAGCTTTGATCACTCGGATGACTCATTCTTCTCAGATGACTTTCGCGGACACGCAACTGAAAGCGACCGCCGTCCTCCTATTTCAAATGAGGAAGATATTAGGAATTCCAATTTCAACAGTGTGATTTGCCGCAAAGCTGAGTTCATTACCTTGGACAACTGTTTGTCTACAGACAATTAGAACACGCAACTAAAAATTTACAAGAAGGCTCAGAAAAATAAAAGGCGTCACAGCATGAGGACTAGGTCTCAGTCCAAAAATTTCCCATGGGACTAGCCGTCTAGTTTGTTTTTGTTTTTATGTACTTTTTTTCCTTTCTCGCACTGTAATGTTTTTTATCAATAAAATTTCTCTTTTCGCAAAAAAAAAGTATTTAAACAAATTACATATTGTAAATGTATTTTTAATTTAAAAACCGCCTTTAGATTTTAGAAAAATAATTTTAAGTCGTAAGTTTGTAACCAATTAATTAATTTAAGAAGTGCTACATATGAAAAAATGAACGCATATTTATTTGAAATATGAAGTACAAGTTTACAAATTAATTTGAAGTACAACTACAAATTTACAATTTTGAAATATGAAGTACAAGTTTACAATTTTGAAATATGAAGTACAAGTACAAATTAATTTGACAAGTGCTACAAAATACATTTTATAATAAATTCTAAGATACTAATCAATCGGAATCTCTGGCATAGGTAAAGCCACCGTCGGTTGTTGAGTCATCCATAAAATCTTGGGAGGGAGTGATGCTAATTTCTTGAGTTCTACGTGCGGCCTTCAACCAATCGTGGTAGCATATAAGCGTCTGAAGAGACTCTGTGCTCAATCTCGATCTAGATGCCGTTAGGACGTTGCCGGCCGAACTAAATTCTTGTTCCACAACAACTGTTGAAACCGGCATTGATAGTACTTGCTTAGCCATCCATGCTAAAATCAGGAACGTTCTCTCTTTTGACTTCCACCAGTTTAGAACGTCAAAGTCATCATTTTCTTCAAAATCAACTTCATATGTTAAATACAAAGTAATCTCATTCAATGCGCTTTGTTCAGTGACGTGAGTTGTTTTACTTTTTTTTCATAAGATTGCCAAATGCAGATTTAAAAATCGATTTTCCTTTAGATGAAGATGTTCGTGACGGGAGAGGGGGAGCGTTGCTATATTGTGCACGAAACTCATTAAATAAGGCATAAAATAAAGCACTAACCTCGTTGTATTCCGTTTTCGGATCTATGGGGTTATCGTCATACATTGGAAATTCACTAAAAAAAAGCAAGATAATAGAAGTTGAAACAATCTTCCAAATTAGCTAGTCTAAAACGAGGATCGAGAATAAATGCAATACCATAGATATGGGGAATATGCGCATAATATTTTAAAAACTTTTCCTTCATATAATCACAAAAATAACTCACGAAAACGGCATTCTCAAATTCTTTAAAAGTACCGGCGAGATTAACAGCTTCACGAATAAATTGGTTTGCGGTAGGTTTATAAACATGACTAAAAGTTTCAGTTGCATTAAAAAAAATATCAAAACATTACAAATTTTTTCGCAAGTGTCGATCTCAGCCGAGTTTATAATATAGTTATCATGTTGTTTTAAAAAAGCAAGAAAATGTTCTTTATATCTAAGAACAACTTTAAGTAATTTATAAGTACTATTTCAATGAATCCTCAAATCTTTAGGAAAAGCAACATATCTCACACCTCTTTCAGTCAAATAAGTTGGTCATTTTAATCTAAGTTGACCATTACCCCAAATACATCTAATCCCCCCCTTCACTACCTCCATAGCATCTCCTAACGCTTTTAGACCGTCTAGCACACATAAATTTATAACATGCATGCACAGCGTTGATGAAAAAATCTACCTATCAAAGTATTGGCACCACACAATTCACGCAATCTAGGTATAGCAGCAGTATTATTAGTAGCATTATCGAAACCAATAATAAACACGTTATCAATCAAATTATACTCAATTAAAATACGCTCAATCAAAATATAAATATGTTCAACAATGTGACGATCATTAAATTCACGAAAAGCAAGAACACGTTTATGCATATTCCAATCCTCATCAACATAATGTGCAGTCAGACCCAAATAATATAAATGATGAAAATCATCCTCCCATATGTCAGAACAAATAGTAACACGCCCATCAAAGTTTGCAAAAAAAATTTGTAACCTTGTCTTTTCCGCACTATAAAGCCTTATAATTTCTTTCTTAACAGTTTTGCGACTATAATTTCTAAATTGAGGATTTAAACTACCTTGTGCATAATCTCTTAAAGCAAGACTTTCAGAAAACATATAAGGCAAATTTTCTTCACAAATTAAGTTAGCCATACCAGTCAAATTTTGTGCATCATTGTAGGAGAAATTACCAAAAGGTTGAGAATTCGCAAACCTCGATATTTGAGTTTGCTTCCCCGTCCCCCCGCCTAATTTTGCATACTCCACGGGGTGCTTTGCCTTAAGATGCCTTGCGGCGGATCTGTATCCACCGGAGGTCCCCAAGTTATAATTGTTGTTGCACCACTTGCAAGTTGCGTGCCAATAGCCGGTTTGTGGGTCCTTCCACCTATCAAAATTATTTTGCATTAGTTCAGATTTACTTTTTTTAATTACCGGTGGCGATTTGGGATGAGACAAAACCGTTAGGCCCGACCCGACCGGGCCGGGCCGCCAAAAACAACACCCGAGCCTGGACCCGCCACCCCCACCGGTTCGGTGCCCGAACCGGACCCGGACCCGAGAACCGGGCCGGGCGGTCCGAACCGGGTCCACCACTAGATTAATATAAGAAGATTGTTAGTAGTTGGGATTATTCGTGTAAATTTTTCCTGTTTTTTTTTTTACTTTCCCTCTCCTTTTTCCCTTTTATGGTGTATAATTTTGAAAAGAAATTTATTCTTAATTACAATAAGAATAGAAAATAAGAATATTCTTAATTACATTAAGAATAGGAAGATCAGAAGATGGCATGAGGAAGCTTACAATTTTAATTTATAACAAACAATAGTGATGTCATGACTCATGAGGACCAGAGGACTTTATAAGTTGCAAGCTCCCAGTGGCCAGTAGCATAGACAATGATGGATAGGCTATATGTTGATGTTTTGCATTCGTAAGAAAGAATATAAAAACTTACTCCCTCCGTCCCGGGGAGAAGTTCCCAATTTCCTTATTTGGATGTCCCAAAAGAAACTTCCCATTTCCCTAAATGGAAAGTTATTCTACATTAAAACAGTGCCAAACAGTGCAAAACAGTGCCAAACAGTGTCGAAACAGTGCCAAACAGTGTCGAAACAGTGCAAAACAGTAAAATTTACCCCTCAGTAACTTTATTTCCTAAAAATGTGTGAAAGTCAACCCGAGAACTTTTCCCCGGGACGGAGGGAGTATGAAGTAGTAATACATGTGATCATGAAAGTTATGTCCGGTCGTCAGGACAAATATTTTAAACGTCCGTCAGCCCTGTTTCAAATAGCTCTTTATCACACTAATGTTTTCCATAAAATCGTCCCTGAGAGTTATGTCCGGACATATAATTCGTAAGAAAAAATATAAAAACTTATTAAGTAGTAATACATGTGATCATGAAAGTTATGTTCAGACACCACACCACACCACACCAGCACCAAACACACGCAAAAACATATTGGTAAAATATGCGTACAATAGAAAGTACATTGACATGCCAAAGTGCAGCAAATGGATCTAATAAACTATGATTTGCTACCCTAAATGACATACTTATATTGGTACATTCCTTTCATCTGGATTAATAACTACAAACTGGATTCATTATATGCCTCAACAAACCTTCTCCTGGGGCATATGGCATATCCTAGTGCATCAGAATTCATCATACTTTGAAAGCAAAGCAGCTCAACTCATGCCTATAGCACCACCTGTTTCTCAAAGATCCTCAACCCGGCCAGGAAGATAATTAAGGTCTATCATAATCTATTACTGTAACTCTCTATATAACCAAAAAGAGTCTTTATTTTAGCGTTTTTACCTACAGTTCTTATCAAGGTTGTCAAAACTTGATGATATCCCGTATTAATGAATATCGTTTTTCTCCCCACCACCTTGTTGCTTATGAAAATGCATATCAAATTAGAGCATACATACAACAACAAAATCCGATCCTTGATCCCAAAAGATTTTGGGGTCGGCTAACATGAATCTATACATGATATTATTAGAGCATACATATGTACGTAAATTAGATGATAATATAAATATGATAAATAAAGATACAAATCTGGAGATCAAAGAGGCACTTGTTAAAAGCGTCCAAAAGCGCGCTTAAGCACCAATGCACAAGCGAGCCCTACTTCTCCGCCTGGCTTTTGGAAAGCGACTCGCCGTGAGAAAGCTCCGCTTTTGCTGCGCTATTCGTGAGCTAGCTTTTCCATTAAGTGACCACTTTGCAGAGCTTTTCACAAAAAATGGTAATTTGATCGGACAATTTTTTCATTTTAAGTGTGTCGGCGCTAGAGATTAGGGTTATATTCGTTCGATTCTTTCCACGCACCAGACAACGCCGCAGGTGAAGAAGCCGCAGGTGATGAAGCCGTAGGAGAAGTCGCAGGTGAAGAAGCCACAGGTTTGGAGTTCGCCCAGACTTCTGTAAGGCTAGAAATCTCCAACTCGCCTGTGAGAAGCACAATCTCTTTCATCCAAAGCTTAAACATCATTTTTCACTCTTCAGGTTTACTCTGTTTTTTTAATTTGAAAACTTTCAGTCTTTTGCTCTGTTTTTTTATTTGTTTGAAACACCTTTCAGCCTTAAACGTCGTTCTTCCCTCTTCGGCTAGTTACTTAATTAATTTTTTATTTCCAGTTTATTCCACTAAATTAAATTCCAGTTTATTCATTTCAGTTTATTGATTAATTAATTTTTAGTTTATTCCTTTCAATTTATTGATTAATTAATTTTTTGTTTATTCCTTTCAGTTTATTGATTAATTAATTTTTAGTTTTTTTCCAGTTTATTCTTCAGTTTAATGAGTTTATTGGGTAATTAATTTTTAGGTTATTGACCGTATTCCAGTTTATTCCTTTCAATTTATTGATTAATTAATTTTAAGTTTATTCCAGTTTATTTATTTCAGTTTATTGATTAATTAATTTTCGGTTTATTCCAGTTTATTCCTTTCGGTTTATTGGTTAATTAATTTTCAGTTTATTCCAGTTTATTCCACTAAGTTTATTGATAAATTAAATTTTCCAGTTCATTTAAACTTGCTTGATTATATATTTGTGAAACATATATATGTAGAATTTTAGACATTATGTGATGGATGTTTTTATCTTTATGTTGCGCTAGAACTTATATGATTAGTTATGCGTTTTTACATAATTGTGTGATGAATGTTTTCTCATTTTTATGTTGCACTAGTATTATTCTTAATGACTTTTATGATTACTTGCGCATTTTTTACGTAACTACACATTATATATATTTTGGGAAAGTTGCCGAAATAGGACTAAAACAGTTTGTAAATTCCAAAATAGGACTGACAAGTTTTTTATTCCCAAAATAAGAGTAATTACTTCCATGTTTGGAAAATACTGTCATGTTTGAAGTCTGGTACTGCCAAAAAATGACAGTAATTAGTCCTATTTTGGGAATAAAAACATGGCAGTCCTATTTTGGAATTTGTAAACCTTTTTAGTCCTATTTCGGGTAATATCTCATATATTTTTTATCAGCATCGTTTTTGTGAGAAAGCTACGCTTTGCTTAGCGCTTTTGCTTTAAAGCAAAGCTTAAGGTCATCGCTTTTGGACGCTTTTCGTTTTAAAAAAGTTTGTGAAGAGGGGATGTATCATTAGTGACTTTTAGAGGCATTTTGAGAAATTGGTATCCTAATATATTTAATGTACAATTTACAAAATATTTTGAGAACTTTTGATATTCAGCTGGGAAAAAATTTAGTAAAATGCCATGTGATATTTGTTCTCCACATAAATTTTGGGTGTGTGGTGGCCAAGATTTTTAGGGACTTTGCAGGAAAACAATTGTGAAATATCATTCTTTATCAAATCCCACCCAAGTAATTTGAGCTTTTGATCTCTAAATTCAATATCGTATGGATCAACGCTTGTAAATAAGTTCATAGGAAGAACACAAAATGAAATTACCCATTTCTTACTACACCAATAAAAAAGTACTCCGTCCCAATTTGATGTTCATGTTGCGGTTTACGATGCTTGACCGACGATAAAGCAAACGCGTCCCTGTCCACACTCAAATTATTTGTAGCAAATAAAATTTACACATTCAGAAACAACATTAAAACCGCTACAAAGCCTGCAAAAAATAATTCAAGTTTCATAAAATTTCGATATAAAAAGTAAAAGATTTAGAGTGGTTTAAGTTGACCAAGTGAATAGGAACTGGGAACATCAAATTGGGACGGAGGTAGTAGTTAATTACTGAAAATCCTAGTATCAAAAGTAGTGCAAATTAAGATAACTTTGCACTGCTTCAAATGTTTCAGAACCACATCATCTGTTGATACAGCAGTTCTATAAAACAAATTTACAGCGATAATATAAGCCGTAGAAAATATGGATGGAAAAATATATCCCATTGAATAGACTAAGACTAAAGTCTAGAATACATGTTATAAAATGGGTTGATGGACAAGAAACTGATCCTTCAAATAATTTTATCTAATCTCCAGATATTATAAAGAATCAATACTGTAAGAGTCTACATTAAGGGAGGTGGAATGGAAAATTAATGAGGAAAAAGTTGAGCACCTTTCCGTACAGTATTCTCAATCTCTCTGCCAATAGTCCATGGACATATTCAGGCAGGTATGTCCGAAGCAATTGTAAAACCTAAAACCACAGGTAGAAAGTAAAGTTCATGGTTCAGAGAACATGCATCCCACTAATATAACTTTCAAGTCAATAACGAACTGAGACTTCTAGATATTTGGTGATGTTTTTAAATTTTTGAGTTTTTCTTTGGGCCTGCTTTGCCCCTTAAATAAAATTTGTGGGGTTACTGAGCAAGTAATTACGCAAAGAGGAAATTCCAGATTCTAATTAGTCATTTGTTTAAATAATTTAATACTAGTAGTGTGAATAAGGCAGATTTAACATACTAAATGAGAAGAAATCAAGCAAGATAGGCGATGAGAAAAAATTAGATACTAATTAGCAGGGGCGGATTCAGAAATCTGAGATGCCTTGGGCTGAAGAGAAATTATTCTACACTTAAACATTATAAGGGTGGGCTAAATATGAAAAATTTTAAAAATTACATTAAAAAAATTGAAAAAGATCAAGTTACCTTGGGCTACGGCCCACCATAGCCTATCCTCCCCTGCTAATTAGCGTATTTATTTTGTCTCTGAAGCCAGAATAATAGGGGGGATATTAATGTGGCTTCAAAAGTGATTAAGACACAATTAATGCTCGCTGCCTATCTCAATTTGGGGGGGGTATTGATGTGGCTTCAAAAGTGATTAAGACACAAATAATATGGCAAATTCGACGTAATAAATGAAAGAAGTGTTTCAAACTTGTAAACATTAGAAACAAAGCAGAAATTCAAACTAAGCAAGTAAAATCGGCAATTATAAATTAATTCTGTGTAAAATAGGCAAAGGGAAATAATTATATGATCTAAAACAGATGTGGAGGAAGAAAATATGACAGAAAATATGACAGTGCTCAGAACACGAAATTCATTGGATTGGACTAATCTCATACAGTTAAATCTTTTCAGCCCCACGTTCGCCCCTCCAATCCTTCATTATAGGTTTATCAACTGTCTTTTGTGTGGCTGAAAATCAAGATTAACAAATTAGAACAGAACAAAGAAAACTCAAATAAAGAGAACACAATAAAGTCTTAAAAAATAAGAAATCCAACCAAACATACAACAACATTCAATCCTTAATCCCAAAAGATTTTGGGGAAAATCCAACCAAACATAGTTTGGCTTTAATTTGGTATTGACCTCTAAGGCTCCCAGCCTCCCACCCAACTCTTTTAAACTAAACTTAACAAAAACCATATTGAACCTGAAATGCCTACTCGTAAGTCGTAACTACCAAAAAAAGGATGACACCCCATCCCTGAGGGCCCCCAACACCGATCGGACGGCACGATGGGAGGATGTAAATTGGACTATAATCACAATCTGACAGATAGAGAGTGGGGCTCCGTCCCCGGTACTTGCAGAGGCCCTGTGCATTTTTAGCATAGTAACCTCTCATCGCAGTTGCCGGGATTCGAACCCGGGACCTAACCCTTGTGGCACTCCCTTACTACCAGTTGAGCTACGCCCACCGGTTAAGTCGTAACTACCAGGAGCATAGGTAGAGGGGCCAACCCTAATATTTTCATGAGTAAAATTTGATGTGAATGATTCTTTTGACAGCTCAACGGAAATTGAAAATATTTAAGGTCTAAAGGCCCTAATTATCACTATCGGAGGATTTTCGATAAAAAAAAAGTTGGATCTCCTAGAACCTACAAATAATCATTAATCCACGTCAACTTTAAAACTTCATAGTCACTTTTTGGCATTTAACTGGTTTAGAAGCACATCTTGTTATCTAAAATCTTGACCAACTCATCCATCTGGACATTCGGTGACTATAACTTGTAAGCAGTTGCAATATTACATACACTATACCTCCTACGGCCCTGGAGATGCACTTGTATTTCAAAACCCCATATGAATGATCTGCAATCATTACAAATTTCATTGGTCTACAGTTCAATCCAAACTTAAAACACCAATGGCAAAGAAGTACTCCCTCCGTCCCCGAAAGAAAGTCCTACTTTGACTTCACACATATTAAGAAAATGAATTTGACTTCGCACAGTAGCGACACTGTTTGACAATATAGCGACACTGTTTGACACTATAGCAACATTGTTTGACACTGTTTGATATAGATTTGTTTGTCAGATAAGGAAGTTAAAGAAGTAGGACATTAATTTAGGGACTTCCATTTTGGGAAAGTACGACATTCTTTCGGGGACGGAGGGAGTATGTTTGTATGAGAATAATGAATTATACAGTAAATTCTTCTAGGTAAATTCCACAAACCTCTTAATTTCAATTTCTCTGAAATTGCAATATAGTTCAAACTTCAAAGCCTCAATTATCTGCAATTCAGAAAAAAAATAAACCATTACCACAAGATGCTAGTTACAGTTAATATATTGGAGATGCTAGTTACAGTTAATATATTGGAAGCGGAATGCCCAACGATAAACAGCATAGCATAAGATATCTACCTCTAGAAAAAGCATAAGGACAAGAATTTATTTTATTGAAAGTTAGATGTCAGTTATTACCATTTCTATTGTAATTCACCGTAAAAGAAAAAGAAAACAAATTTCTTCAAGTTGGAAGAAATGAAAAATAATTAAATAAAAAACAATTGGCATACCTGTTGGTGACTTGTGGAGGTGGTGATCTGTTTGGCCACAGGCAACTCTCACTTCCTATAGAAAATCTCACTTGGCAACAATTTGCTATCTAAATGGTGTCATGTAAAACCATCCGCACCGCAGGTGCACTTGAAACTCATTCAATCATAGGTACAGCGCTTTAAACTTCAAACTCACCACACCGCACTGGTTTGCAAAAAGACGGCCTTAGCTGAATGAAGAAGGCTACCAATAATCCCCACAAGAACAAGATCCATCTTTGAAGTGGTGGAACCTGTTAACATCTCTAATTATGATTTCTCTAGAGACAATCTTACATATGAACTTGAAGGCTGTATGACAGTCCAAACAAATCCTAAGGTTCTTCTTTACCCTAATGGGAGATCCAGGAGGGGTAGCAATCAACCCAAACGCTACAGCTAACTTCTCGCTATGGTATGACAGCAAAATCTCCTTTTGTTCCTTTTCCACATCATGCAGATCAACCTCCACCATGGGTACATACCCTTCTTTACCCATTAACTCAACTAACTCCTTAAGTTTTCCATATATCTCTTCACTTCTGGGATGGTTTTTGTCTCCCACTATGAATGTGTACACCGTGTCTTTAACCTCAATCCAGCTCAACCCTGGTTCCTTTTTTACTTTGCTGTCTCTCATCGATCTTCTAACCTCTGCCACATTTGCCCACAACCCAACAGAAGCATAAATGTTTGCAAGAAGAACATGGGTCCCAGACTTCTCAGGTTCAAGAATGAAAAGCTGATGTGCAGCTTGTTCTCCTATGCCCACGTTTTTATGTGTTCTTGAAGCACCGAGAAGTGCCCCCCAAACGGACGCATTAGCCTCAAAAGGCATTTGGTTTACTAAATCAATAGCCTCTTCCAATTTGCCTGCTCGCCCGAGAACGTCGACCATACAAGCGTAATGTTCTTGTGTTGGCTCAATTCCAAATCTCTCTTTCATCGTTTTGAAATGGTTTCTTGCTTCTGAAACTAAACCAGCATGGTTACATGCACACAAAACACTAACTAATGTTATGTGGTTAGGGGTAATTCCATCAGTAAGCATTTCGTTGAACAAATCAAGGGACTTTTTGGCATTCCCATGTTGGGCAAGTCCCGCAATCATGGCTGACCAGGAGACGATACTTTTCTTTGGAACCTCAGAGAAGGCACGCCCGGCGTCCTCTATGCTCCCACATTTGGCATACATGTTTACTAGAGAGTTTCCAGCAAAGGTGTCAGACATGAACCCATATTTCAAGACATGAACGTGGATTTGTTTCCCCTGTTCATAAGTTGACAGATTAGAACAGGCGTTGAGAAGAGAACTACAAACAAATGAGTCTGGGGTTATACCCAAATCCTGTAACCTTAAATATAGCTTCAGAGCTTCTTCCCCTTTTCCGTATTGAGCATAAGCTGTAATCAAAGAGGTAAATGATGGTAAATCTACAAAAGGAAATTCGTCAAGGATCTTAGCTGCTTCGGCTAGTAGGCTACACTTTCCATACGAATCGATGAGGCTGTTTACCAAATAGGGATCAGAGTGAAACCCTGATTTAACTGAAAGTGTGTGAATTTGCTTACAAACATCATAAGCTTGCAATCCAGCAGTGGAGTTTAGGGCTACTAGTAAAGTTGTTTGGTCAAATCTTATTCCGCTCTTGTGCATGTTAGCGAAAAGGGTTAGGCATTCGGTGTATTCTTCGTTCAGTGAATATCCAGATATCATAGCGTTCAGAGCTATTAAGTCTTTCTCGGGCATATAATCATATATTAGTCTCGCATCGTTCATCAAATCACATTTACCGTACATATCAATCAGCCCAACACTCACAAATGGATCTATAACTATGTCTTTCTTTATAAGAAGAGAATGCAATGTTTTTCCTGCAGTCTGAAGCTTCAGTGCAGCAGAAGCTTTCAGAGAACTTGATAAGGTGAACATGTTTGGAGACATTCCGGACCTTCTCATCCGGCCCAACATTTCCAATGCTTGGTCGTGACACTCACGAAGAACACATCCGGCTATTATAGCATTCCACGAAACAATGTCTGGTTCTGAAATTCCTTGAAAAACAGCAATTGCGTCTTCCAAGTCACCCAGTTTTGCGTACATGTCTACGAGTGCGTTTAAGGAAAAAGGGTCTGAATCATGACCAATCTTTAATAGATAACAGTGGGTTTTCTTCCCTAGATAAATATCTGCTAATCCTGTACAGGCATTCAATATTGTTGATAAACTGTACTCATCTGGTTTTATTCCACTACTCTGAACCATTTCTTGAAACAAGCTCACTGCTTCCTTGAAGAAGTCGTTCTGAGTGTAACAAGAAAACAAAACATTCCATGATACAACATTTCTTTCTGGGATTTCCTCAAACAGTTTCCTGGAATCCGAAAGTTCACCACTTTTTGCATACACAACAACCAAAGTGTTGGCTACAAATACATCAGATCCAAACCCGGTCACCACCACAACCCCATGAATCTGTTTTCCTAGCAAAAGGTCCCTTTTTATCGAGCATGCCTTGAGCACACTGGGGAACGTGAATTCATTGCATTTTAGACCCAAAGAATGCATTTTTCTGAAAGATAGAGTGGCCTCCTCCAAAAGGCCATTCTGGGTATACCCTGATATCAAAGAAGACCAAGATATCAAGTCTGGTTCCGGATTTTCCTCAATCAGCTTGTGGGCATTCCCAAAATCCCCACATTTTGCATAGAAATTTATCAAACAGTTTCTCTGTTTGTTGTCTTGGAGCAGCCCAAGTTTGGTTAGACATGCATGGATTTGTCGACCTGGCACGAGAGACTTGACTCGGGCCGGCCCCAACATTTTAAAGGCCCTGTTTAAAAGCAAAACAGGAAGCCCTTAAATACAAAAGTAAAAATTAATTTCATAGTTTTAAAAGTTGCCTTCTGGTCATCTATCTATTACTACCTCCGTCCCATAATGTAAGATGCATGTGGGTTGGTGTGGGTTTTAAGAAAATAAAGGATAAAGTGGTTGTTTTACAATTCTAACCTCCAAAAAGTAAGAAAGAGAAAAAAATGGATCCAGAAAAAGTAATGGGTGAAATGATAGATAAAGGGATAAAGTGGCAAAGTAAAAAGTTAGTGGAGTCCAATTTAAGAAAGTGATCATATTTTTGGGGCAACCCAAAAAGGAAAGTGTATCTTATAAAATGGGACGGGGGTAACATATACAAGCAAAAGGTTCTTTGGAACAGTACTCTCGCCTAAAATCTCCATAGTAAGAACTAGACAATATGAATAAAAAAAGTCAAAAAAAAAAGAAAAATTAGCGGTCTAATTCTTCTTTTAATATGTGCCTGACATGTCAAATCAAAGTAAATCAAGCCAGCCTTACTCCTCGAGACATGCTCTATGCCACAAATGAACGGTACAATTTTTAATACATCAAACCAAATATAATACTTCATTTATTTATGTAGACTGATTTGGAAAATATTTTCTCTGATAATGTATTCAGGTGTACTGAGACCAGCTGGCCAGCACTTGATCCTACAATAAACCCTTCACAATAAAAGTATAAATAGCCTGTTATTCATGGTAATATGTTCTCACAAATCAACTACAACTCAAGAGTCAAGCCCATGTAAGTTCTCGATTTTCATGCTAAAGCATGAAAATATGGTGATCTATTGGTTATTTATTGCATTTAGCTCATGTACAATTGTACATGTAAGTCTTTCCATACGGTTTTTGGAGGATAAAATAAATAAAAAACCTATAAAGGAAAAACAGATTTGTTGAAGATGGGCCAATTGTGTACAAATTTAAAAACACAAGATCATTCAACAAAAATCACTTTAGAGTTTTTCCGCACACCAGAGATTTTAATTACAACATTTTAAACAAAAGTCATATTTACATTGAAAGCTATGCATTATAAGAAAGATGTGCATGCAAATACTTGGTATGAATCAGTGAGTTGCCACATAAAAGTTAAAAATGAAACTACCATTTTCACAACACTGAGTTAAATTTATGTGCTTCTAAAAGTAGAAGAGGGACTATAAAGTGAAGCTATTTCAAAATTTATACACTCCGTAGAAGATATATACAATCTCATAAATATGTACACATACATAGCCACACATTTCGAGAGGGTTCTTATGAAACTCAGTAAAAACAACATATTTGTATCACCTGTATAGGCATATTTAATTTTCTCTAATTGTAATATGTAAACATGTAAACAATTGTTACAATGGAGCTGTAATCACCTTAGTGTGTGATGAATGAGTAAAACATAGAGATATAATTTACCTTGGGTGCGTTGTTAATGTAGATATACACAAACATGTTGGTATAAAATTCAAATGGATCGAAAAGGGCTGCACTTGTGTATTAGAAAAGATAGCACCTGTTAGTATGAAAAGGGCTGTAGATTGGGCAAGTGTTATGGGTAAAAAATGTGCAACTGTTATAAATGAGAACTACTTCAGACCTTAAGAAGCTATGTTTACTTTTGGTACTTCACGAAATACAAACTGTAAAAGTGTAGAAGTGATATTCTAAGTTGCATGAATGACGTGTATTTATTACATTAGTTCCAGAAAAATGTTTTAATCAAAGTAAAAGTTTAAATATGATGCGAAAAAATAAAGCATTTAGTCATACTTTGCTTCACAGTAGAGATTTCAAAACAATTTCATTCAGTTTTAAAATTGAAACAGGTAAAACTTTAAATTATGCACTAATTTCAGTATTTATATAAAAAATCCGAGTTTAATATACTTTCACTGGTGTTCCGACAAGATATTAAAAGGGTCAATTTTTATGAGTAGCAATTGACCCTAACATGCGTGTAATGAAATTTATCACAAAACGTCTAAATGTATAATGGTCAAACTAATGTTACTGATATGAAGATCTGGACTTACCTTTAACCCATCAAAATGGCGATTTTATCAAAAAAAGTAGTAGATCTCATGAACTCGGTTGTTGACAGGTGTCTCCTTTACGAACGGTACAAATCAGCGCTTGGGGTAGCTTATGACCCGTAATATTTGTTTGACCGACGCTGATGAGGAGTCGAAGTATCATCGGTGGGCGGTGATGAAATATATTTCCCTCAGGCGGAAAATATGTAAAATAGGATCTATAACATCAAAGCTGATGGAGCATGGAGCCATGGAGGTGGCCGGTGAATATTAGAGCTCGGACGGACTGACGGCCAGCAGGGCAGGTCTAAGAAAATGAAGACCTGGGCCACAACAAAATTTGGGTCTTTCTTTCCAATAAATAAAACATAAATAAAGATGATAATAAATTAATAATTATGGAAAAGTAGTAAATCAGCATTCGAACTAACTTAAAAAGTGCAAATCACCCTTTAAATAGGAGATTTTGTCTGATCGTCGCCATTTGAGCAGTTTCCGGTGGAATTTTTTGATGAAATTTTTTAGCATCTTCTTCATTAAGTCTAGTTTACTCATACCAAATTTCAGCTAAAAAATCAATCGATCATACGATCAAATGAATTTTTGAAAATAAATGTGCAGTTTAACAGCGTAGTATATTTCAGAAAATCATTTGATTGTCTTCCTGACTATGTTACAAACACCGGATAGGGAAATGATCCAGACGAATGACTGGGTCACGGGTCAGCCCAAACCCGGCAGGTCAACCTGGTCAATGTTGGGAAAACCCGGTCAACATTTGTCATTAGTATATTACTACCTCCGTCCCTTTTATATTGGGACGGAAAAGGGTAACCCGATTTTTAAGAAAAGTGAGTTTGTGTGGTTGATAATAATTGATAAAGTAAGAAAAGGTAAGAATGATTTAGAACCACATAAACTTTACCAAATATGGTATGAGACAATTTTAGTAACAAATATAATGCTAGTTAGCATTGAAAATAAATCCATGATGTTTCAAAATTTAGTTTTAAGTCTAATTATACCAATAATGTTATTGATATTTTTAATTAGACGTATAAAATATTTTTTACATTATTATGTATCTATTATGAATATTCAAGTATAGTATACTTTTTTAGAATAATATGAATATAACTATCCGGAAACAGTCTTTATGTGCTTTAGTACATCGGTAAGACTGCATACATCCGACCCATCCTTACCCCACCGTAGGTTGGAGCCTTTTCGGCATTGGGATGATGATGATGATGATGATGATAACTATCCGAGCTACAAAATACGTAGTATTAAAAATATAATATAAGCATTTTTTAATTATATTTGAAAATATATACACAATAAGTTAGTGAAATACTATTATTTCACAAATATTATAAATGTTAATCTATAATGTTATTAATAAAATTATAACATTATTTTTTAGCACGTGAATGAGAGTAACTATTAATTAATTAATTAATAAGTTATAACAAATTTCGTAGTATTAGAAGTTTTTCTGAAAGTTAATACCAGAAGTTAATAACCACACACTATGGAAAGTTGTCACATCACGAATTTCAAGTCTAAGACGGACTTATCGACTTTGACATTGTAACATTTAATGTTCATATGCAATAAGAAAATGTCGAAGGAAAACACTTGCATTTTTTCAAAATTTTCATTGACTCTTATTCATTGTTATTATTGCATAGCACACATGTGTTTAGGGGTGGACTGGGTCGGGTCTGGGCCGGGCTTCGGGCCAAGATTGGGCGGGCTCCAGGTCAAAAAATCAGGCTCGGTACCGGCCCAGGTATGTACTGGGTCGGGTCAGGCTACACGGTCAAGCTTCAGTCTGGACCTGGGTCAGGTCGGCCCAACTATTAAAATCCATATTTTTGAATTTGTGGCTGTTAGGCCCAGGCCGGTCCAGGCCTGGCCAGGCCAGTCCACCAAAAACGAATCTCATAGCCCGTCCTTCACACGGGTCGGGTCCCGGGCCTAGTCGAGGTCTCGATCAACCTGGTTGGATCGGTCCTGCACAATAACGAGCAGGTTAGGTCCCAGAGTCGGGCCGATCCATCCCAATCCACCCTACATGTGTTGCATGGGTTGTATTTTACACACATAGCATGATCTATGATGTGCCTTCATTTTGTAGAACAATTAGACAACGAAGTCTCATAACTTTTGCTTGTTAGAGGTGTACACCTGTACGGACGTACATACAAGATATGTTTTTATTAATAAATATTTGATAAATATTTGACTCATTTTTTTAAATGAAAACTAGCCTCTATTCATATCCTCAGTTACAGGATCATTACATCAATCAAAGGAAAAACAAATCTGACACCAACTATACTCCAAGTCTCCAACCACTACGACTGTAAACTCTATGATAAGCCTTAGAAACAGTCACCCCTGAAAGAGCAACATGAATCACTAACCATGTAACGGCTTGACACAGCCATCCATATTCCCATAGATGCAAACATGCTCAATGGCATCAAACAAGAAACCAACTGACAAAATAATGAAAACTTATTGGAAAACTTTCACGGGCTCTAACATCTCGCACAACTCATGGCGGTGGTTCAGGAGGAAGTCGTATCCTTGGTACCACTATAATTGATCCTCCATTGTCAATTATTATCTGGCCTGCTTGAAATCCGTGCAACTCTCCTCGACCCGCGCTCGTAGCAAATCCACCGCTAGCGGTCATCTTCATCGTTGTCATGACCTTGCTACCCTACTCACGAAGAAATCGATCGCCGAACTCTGGTTTCGATGTCGTCAAACTTGGACAAGGATTCTTGTCAATCTTCCTCAAATCCAATCCCAGCGCCGGACACAGGTGAAGGGGATTCACCGGCCAGAAGAACAAAATCTTAGATCTGCTAAGGAAAAAACAAACCCTAGACCCGCGGGAGAGACCACTATAAATATTTGACTCATTAGAAAGTCAAATACTACTACAATATAATTGGGAAATTAAAAATGAGTGTTAATGATTTGTAAATACACATATGGAGTGTATATTTGTGTATAAGTCTAACTGTCAATATTGGATGTCAAAGCTTAAGATATAAATAAGTTAGAATAATAATACCATGAAAAGGTATACCTTAATCGCTACATAATTCCATGACATATTAAATGGATATTTATATCAAATTACAAAACTACAAAAATCAAGTTATTAATTAGGGCATCCACATCCATGGATTAATTTTGGGATCATTTTGATGATGTGGAGGATCTTTTTTGGAATCATGGATGAGGAATTGAGATTATTTCATGAGATTATTTGATAAAATAATCTGGTATCAAATTCTAAAGTTGGATTATTTTAAGATTATTTCCAACTTCTAGGCATATACTCATAATTATGGTGATGACTAGCTTTGTAGTTTGTGCATGCTCATGCTTCTATCCAAGGTAAATTAAGATCATGAATGAGGAGAAAATTATTGATTTGGAGATTATTTGAGATTATCTTATGTGGAGGTGACATGACAATAATAAGTCATGAAAAATCGTAAAGTTAAAGATCATCAATATGGATGCTCTTAAGATAGAAAACATCTTCTTCCACCCGTGGACTTGTTAGCTTCCCTCCATTTTCCGTGCCCCTAATAATATATCAAAACACATCATCACCATCGAGTCAAAAATGACATTTGATATGAAGTCAAAATAAAACATAAATTACCAACACAGTCAACTTATGTGTCAAAAGAATCTAAATGAAACAATGCAAAGTGAACAAAAAACTATATGTGATCAAATATAAAAGGGGAAAATAATTAAAATACCCCCAACTTTGAAGGGGTGTGAGATGAATATCCCAAACTTACATATATATTTTAAATATCCCAAAATTTATATAAAAAGTCATTTTGACATCATATTCAAGTATTGTTTCTTTCAAAAATGTTAATTAATGGTGTTAATTTCATAATTTAAAATAGTTTAGAATTCATGAAGACACAATTCACATTATAAACTTCCATTGCAAACTAAATAATGTTACACCCAATCTAAACAATTGCAACATTTTTAATTTTTTATCTAAATTATGCAATTAATCCCATATATTTACATTTTTGAAAGAAATAATACATGACAATGATGCGAAAATAACTTTCTATATAAAGTTTGGGGCATTTAAATTACATACGCAAGTTTGGGTGTTTACTTCATACCCCATCAAAGTTTGGGATATTTTTATTATTTTTCCCCAATATATAAAAACAAAGCTATAAAGTATAACATTTGTTATAAATATGTTGAATAAAAAAATTAGTTTTAACATTTGTTGAAATTAAATGCTATGCAAATAGAATAAAAACAAATGTAATGGCCATTTAAAGAGCTCAAAGATCATGAGTCATATCAAAAGAATAAATGAATAGTCGTATTTAATTGTAACACATCCAAGCATCACTTGCATCCAGAGGTTTACTAATCAACTGATCCAATATAAGTATTTTTTTTAATTATATTTGAAAATATATACACACTAGGTTAGTGAAATATAAGTAATATATAATCAAAACAACAACATTAATATACTACGGATGTTATTACTAATAATGTATTTATTAATACTAATTAGTTTGTCTAATTATAATAGGAATCTCAATGTATATTTGACTCTTTTATTATAAATAATACTTTTGGGGCCACCATTAAGGTACGATTCCTCATTATTCTCACATGGTATCAAGAGTCCTAGGATTCTAATTTTTTTCGGTAATCATGTCGACTGATGCTTCTTCATCGACCACCATGGCAGTGCCTACCACGGCCACGCCACCGCCTGTGATCCCTGCTTCCGCCACAGCAAGCCAGACGCAGAGCGAGATGAACACCGCTATTTCTTCTGTCCAATCCATCTTTAGCTCGCCGGCTTCATCCACGTTTCCGCTATTGACGTTCGGAAATTGGTTTCCGCCAATTTTTACATGGTCTCCGACGACGTCGGCTATTCCGTCTCTGCTGCCAGACGCGTCGCACACTCGCACATCAACCCAGATGACCAAATTCCGGTTGATGCTCCTGCCGTCAATAATGAAGCTCCTGGCAGTCTTTTTGTTGGTTCAACGCTAATTGGTTCTTCGAGCTTGTCCATGATCCCACAAATCATCCCTATTGGTACTCGGAATCGGGTATTATCCAGTAATTCATCCTTGACCACACTGTTGCAATCATTGGGTTTTTTCTGCCTTGAACATCACGAATATAGTTACTACTAAATTAAATGTTGTGGAAGATTATTTACCTTGGCGTACCCAGTTTGAATCCTTTTTTGTGTCTCATAGTTTACTTGGTATTTTGGATGG